CCGTGGGTCGGCGCCTCTCGTAATCAATTGCGTAGCAGGATCGGCCTCGGGCACCTTTAAGTCCAACGCCGTCTTTAAACATCTGCCGCGACTGCCGCTCGAACGCGATTGGGCAAGCCGGCGCCTGACCAGTTCCAAGTGCCGACCGTGTGCTCCATGTACCTGGCGTCCACAAGTCCTGCAGGTAGTCCTCCTTGCTCTTGCCGCTTAGAGGTCGCATGCTATTGCCTGCTTGCTTTCGTGGGCCTCCGTATTTCCTTTGACATATCATGGCGTTTGGCTTCCCTTCGCCCCCTGGTGCTGCAGGCCAACCTGCCGCGTGCGCCATCAGCTCCAAGATATGTTGCCTGAGTAACGCCTTTGGTATGGTAGCCGCGACCGCGTGCAGATCGAACGTTCGCCTTCGCGTCCTGGACTCTGGCGCGCAGGATGATGGATTTGGCAGCGATCTTGAGATGACGTTTCTCTCAGCTGCTCGCGCGCATGCACAATCCACCCCGCCATCTGTCATCTGACCGTCTTCCTCGGGCCGCACATGGTCGGGAATAGGTCATCCACCCGCGAGCTGCCGCCCATCTCAGGGTGCATAGTGCTCACGCGCACCACTGCGAACTTAGCGAAGACCTCGGCAAACCTAGCGCTCGTGCGCAGTCCTTGAACAACGCTCTGGGAAGGCTCGAAGGCCTTTGTGACAGCCGCCATCTGCTCTAGAGCTCGCGGGGCCACGCACTGGACAAGCCCCAAGTACAGCATCACTGGGGGAGCGACGGGGTGGAGGTCCGCCTCGACTGGAGGCTGCCACGGTATTGAATCACAGCGTGCTTCGGTGTCAAGCATGGCATGTCCATGCTGCAGACGAAGCCAATGCGCCGCCACTTCATTGATTGAGCTGAGGAACGCCTCTTGGATACACGGATTTCCGGCCACGGCTGCACCCCAAAACGTGGCGTCCATGTTTGGATGCCACCTTCTCTTATCATTGCCCATGCCCGCCCCAGCAATGACACAAGTCCAATTGCAGGATCACCAGTTGATTTCTTCGGAATTGTTTTGTCAATGGTAAGAAGGGTTCGAATTAGCCATGGCAATGTGTATTCACTTACTTCTAACAACAAGGCCATCTCGGCGAGACCAGCCTTCGGTAGACGTTCAAATCCACGGGCAAAAATCCATCTGCCCCCAGTCCCGTTCGCGGTTTCATCTTGCGCACCTGCACAATGTTGGCCTCCGAGATGGGGGGCCGCGGGTTGTCCATCGCCGCCTCGCATATACGATTGATTCCATCTCTGGTGTCAGTTAAATGTACTGGAGTCGGCGCCCACAGCTGTTTAATCTTCTTCACTTTCTCGTCCATGATACCAATGGGGTGGTATATCGCATGCGATTGCGAATCCAACTCTACTGCAGGCAGCGGCTGTTTCTTTAGCGATGTGTGTAGTACACCTGCTGCTGCTGGCTCCTGCACCCATTCGCGGAAGTCCTGCAGGGGTATGTGGATCGCAATTTTATGTGCCCGTGACTCCACCTTCCTAGCTTTGCATTCCCACGAAGCGAGCACAGGGCCTTATACCTGAGCTCCACCTCTGATAAATTCGCACCACTTCTGCCAGGGAGGGCCCTTCATCTCACGTAATATTGTGTGTGCACCATTTGGGTAATCGTCCGCCCTCTGTTTGCACGCAGCCCGATATTCATCCAACTGCCGATGTCCATTGTCTCGTGTCGTATATCGGCACGCGCCTGCCACCACGATGGCCATCCTTGTCCACCATTGTGTTCGACCATCTCGTAGGTGAAGCTGGTGTCTGCGGGCGGCGTCGTGTAGTTGGGGCCGTGAGCCCTTGATGTGTCTGCCATGTGGTGGTGGGCGAGAATGGTGCGCTCGGCCGTGGTGGCCTACGCTGCAAATAAGCCTGATGTTGAAGCTGAGTGGGCTTCCTTGAGCCTAAATGCTACTGACTTGAGTAACGGGGCAGTGACATATTCTAAACAATTGGGTCCCGAAGCAAGCCCGATCGCGGCCCGTGTTTTGCACCAGAGATCCTGGGGGATCTTGAAAGAGGGCTCAGGGGTGGGGGCTCCAGGACCAGTATTTAAAGGCTCGGGCTCTCGGATGTCTCCTGAAACCTTTGTACTCTGCTCTGTAACTACGGGGGGGCTGGCTCGACTTGGGGGGGGGACTGCCGGGGGAAGCTCTGTCGCCAGCGCCGCTGCCTGGGCCTTCGGGAGCAGCCTGTGCGCTGGCACCCGCGGGCATCTCGTTGGACCTGGGCGCGGGGTCGGGAGCGGGGCCGCCGTCGGCCGTCGAGGGGAGAGGTGGGGGGCGGACCAGTGTCCGCACAGGCTGCCACGTTGAGCTCATCTTCCCACCGATCGGGCTCACCTGGCCAATCGTCGAGACAGGGCTCGCGCGCACGGTAGGGGCCATCCACGGTCGCGCCCGCGGCCTGGGCCCCCTGGGAACGACGCTCCGACTGGAAAGAGTCCCCGAACGAGAAGTCAAGATGCTCGTCCCGTTTGCTTGCAGTCTCCTGTTGGGCCACCAGCTTCTTCGAACGAGCCGCGCAGCTTTCGGGCCCAGGGAAGGGGGGGGGGGGGGGGGGGGGGGGGCGAGGCCGAGGGAGTTGGGGCAACTTCACGGGGAGCTCAACGACCCTCGCGACCAGCTGATGTCCGGAACGCCTGAAGGTAATGTGTAGGCGCACGCGGGAGCTCCAAGCTACATCACGCACCTGAGAGATATTCTTGACAAAGGGGATGGCAGATTGCGACCAGAGCATGTAGTCAATCAGAGTGTCTGGGGCCACCTGGAGCCGTTCTGACGGCCCAGTCCAGGCGCTTGGCGAACTCGGGGGCCTGGAGGACTGCCGGCTGCATGTTGAAGTCGCCCACGATGGCCCATGGGAGCCTGGTGGCCTGCAGCAACCTGCTCAGTCGACTGAATCTGGCCTTGTTCGCGCCCTTCATGTCGAGGGGCGGGTGGCTGTGGATGAGCACAACTATCATGCTACATCCCGTGAAAGTGATGACCGTCGGAAGGAATCCATCCAACGCTGTCTGGCCAACCTCAGAAAGCTGGGGTTGAGCAGCACGGGCCTCTTGCATACCATGTGCCTGCAAAAGTTTCCTGCCCATGAACATTTCACTACCCTCATAAGACCAATGATGTCGCTCCGCTGAGACAACTGGCCCAGACCTACGTGCGGGATTGTGGTGCAATATGTAGTGCATTTGCCTGGCCTGGCTGCCACATGCTTGAAGTTCTTCGCGCTCGTGTACATAGGTGTCCAACAGCCCCCCAAACTGGTAATGCTTTGAACTCTGTGACACGTACTTTCAAACCTTATCTGAGAGCTCCGTAACGCTCGCCTCGCACATGTGGGTCTCTCCGACATGCTCAGCTGGTCGTTGCGGGGCGCCCCTCGCCGTTGTCACACGGCCATGCCATCAGCAGACGCTGCCGAAGTGAGCTCGGAGCCCTTGCCCTTGGCCTTGGCCCCCTTCTGCTGGGCCTGACATTTTGCGTCCGACCACTTCTGGTCCTCCTGCTGAACGCGCTCCTTGCGCTGCTCCTCACTCTCCTTCTGTTCCTTCTGGTCGGCCTCCGCTTTGGCTGCCCCTGGGGCATCCTCCGCAGCGGTTCCAGCTTCAGCGCCCTGTGATGCGAGAGCCGTACCTCCATTATCCGACCTGCGCTTCTTGGCCGTCCTCGGCGTGATCTCCTTCTGATGGGCTTGGGCCTGCTCGGGCCAGGACTTGATCTCGTCGCTCTTGTTGGCCAAGTCCCTGCGCGCCGCCGCGGGGTCGCTGTGGAGCGTCTCCAGCCTCTTCGACTCGCCCTCGGTGCAGTCCATCTCCGCCCAGTTGTCAGAGAAGCTCTGGTCCCAGTCGATCGTGATCAACGGGCCATCGTTCTTGACGGAGTTACCCTGCTGGAGCTGCGACGCCTGCACTCTTTCCGCGCCGCGTTGGCCTGCCAGGTCGACGAGCCAGGTCCTGCGCCGCGTTGGCCTTGGCCTCCTTGGCTTCTGCGAGCTTCATGGCCGCTGCCTGCTTCTTCTTCTTCTTCTTCGTCTTCTTCTTCTTATCCGCCGCCGCCAGACTCGAGCGACTTCGAAGGACCGATATAACAGCCTGCTCATGCAAAACGCATAACGTTCCGAACTTCCCCGTCGGCCAGCATCAAAGTCTCCACTGGGCTCGTTCTGGCTGTCAGGTTCGTCATGTCCTCCGTCTCCATGCGCTGCAGCTGCTGCTTCAGCGTTCACTGCAAATCCTGGGTCTCCGTGGCCAGGATGGCTCTCTGGAGAAGGTTCGATACTTCACCGCCCTGACGTGCACCTTTGCCTGTCCGTCGCGTCATGCTGCCGACGCCCGCTGGGGAGTTGCTGCGACTGCGACTGCTACTGGTCTTCAGGATACCCTGCAGCTGCTCTCCGTCGTCCAGGCAGTCCCAGAACTCGTCCTCGCAAGTGTTGACATCTTGGCTGAAAAACACCTTGGGACGCGACGGCAGGTACAGCACGACTTTGCCATTGCAGCCCTGTCAGACCAACCTGTTCATGACCACTCGCATCGACCGCATCCACACCTGCTCCAGAGGGGCTTCACAGCCGCGGGGGGCATGGCGGATGTCGCCTCTCTCGGTTGCTTCTGTCTTGGTCGAGGTTCTGGCGGTGTGGCGGGCCGCCAAGAACCAAGTCCCTCAAACACTGCATGGAAGTGCAGCGGCCCTGGGCGCCAGCGGAATGCTCGAGCCCACGTTGCGTGAGGGAGGAGGAGGAATGGGGAGGGGGAGGAGGAGGAAAGACATGAGGCGGAGGAGGAGGAGGAGGAAGAGGAGGAGGAGGAGGATGAGGAGGAGGAGGAGGAGGAAGGGGAGGAGGAGGAGGAGGAGGAGGAGGAGGAGGAAGAGGAGGAGGAGGAGGAGGAGGAGGAGGAGGAGGAGGAACAGCAGGAGTAGGAGGAGGAGGATGCGGCGAAGCGCGCGGTGCTTGAAGGCTGAGGCGCTCCAGGGGACGCTGGAGGCGAGCAACATCTATATGAAGCCCAAGGTACTCCCCCTCACCCCCTCACGAAGCCCGAGGCCTTTCCTCCCGACCTCTCCTCCTCCCCCCCCTCCGTCTGTCCTCCCTGCTGGTCCCCTCATCCCACTCCTAATCCTTCTCTTTATCCTCCTCCTCCGCCTCCTCCTCGTCCTCCGTTGTGATCATTCCTGCTCCTCCTCCTCCTCCTCCTTCCTTTTCCCTCCTTCCTTTTCCCTCCTTCCTCGTCCTGCGGTTTCTCGCTAAGTCGGGGGGGCTGCCGTTGGCCGCTCAGCCGCGCCCCTTGCCCTCGTCTTCTTCCTTGTCCTCATTCCTCCCTCTTCTCCTCCTCCTCCTCCTCCTCCTCCTCCCCCTCCTCGTTCTCATCACTCCTCCTCCTCCTCCTCCTCCTCCTCTTCCTCCTCCTCCTCTTCCTCCTCCTCCTCCTCATCATCATGATTCCTCATTCCTTCTCCTCCTTCTCGTTCCTTCCTTCCCTCGTTCTCCCCTCCCCGCTGTTGTCATCGCCGTCCTCTTACCCTCTCCTCCTCCCCTTTCCCCCTCCCTCTTTTACTCCTCCCCTTCCCCGTGGCATCCGCCGATCTGATACTTTCAATCCGCGGCCGCAGAGGTCCAGACCGCATCCCTGGGGGTAGTTTTGCGTCCTGTGTCCCTTTTTCGTTGCCCCCAGGCCCGAGAATGGCTGCCGAGGGCTAGTCGGGGAAAAAACCTGCTGGTCGATAAACTCAGAGAACGTCGGAGATCTGGGTCTGAAAACTCCGCACGGCTCCCCCCCCAGAGGTGTCGGGCATGGATAAACAGCCAGGGGGTCGACCCAAAAGACGTTTTGGCGATTTCGTGGGCTGTTTTCGTTTCGACTTCGTTTTGCAGCAAAGGCGGATTGAAGACAAATCAAGGGAAAACGAAAACAAAGCGAACACACACACACCACTGTTTAGGTCGATCTTTGAGATAGCCCACCCAGGCAAGCCGACTGAGGAAATCTGCACCAGATGATTCGACATTGGTGTTCGAGTGTGCCTGTGGAGTCCCCAGTCGGTGTCGCAAATCGACGTGTGTTTTGCCAGGAGTGCGTTCGTGTTTTTTAGGGGGGGACGTCGATCTCTGCTTTCCCGCCCAGGTCCACTCGGGACGCGGCACCGTGCGCACGTGGAGTGCCCCTTGGAAGCTCTCACCAGAGGGTGCTTTGGGGTGTCTCTCAGAGGAGCAAGAGGTCATGATAATGTTACGTTCCAGGACGTCCAACATGTTTCCAGGAATTCCCAGCTATTTCCTGATGTTCTGCGCCGGCAGCGCCGCTAGATGCTCTGGGAAACCTGGAACGCATCCCGAATCAATCTTATCATGACATCATTCTCGCCCCAATTTCGCCAATCCCCCGAAGATGGCGACTTTATGCAAGACCGCGCTCGTCACCTTCTGTCGTGACGTCCAGCCCGGTCACGCCGAGGCCATCCGGTGCCTGCAGGACCCCGCGGCGGCCAGCCGGCAAACAGATGCGGCGCGGCGACAGGTCTTCGGCGGCGCGAGGAAAGAGGGAAGGAGGGGCCCCTCGTCCTCGGCCTCCTCGTCCTCCTCCTCCTCCTCCTCCTCCTCCGCCTCGTCGTCCTCGTCGTCCTCGTCCTCCTCATCGTCGTCGTCGTCCTCCTCCTCCTCCTGCTCCTCCTCCTCCTCCTCCTCCTCCTCCTCACGTCGTGCTAGAGTCACTAACGGCGGGAGGTGTTTGGCCGTTTTCGTGGGTTCTCGAAGGTTTCCCAGCATCGGGGTGCTTTCCAGCAGGATGGCGTTCAGGAGGTGACCGGATCGTCCCGAACGGCTGCCAGAGGCACGAGTCATGGCCCGAAAACCAAACCTTTTCGGCTTGCGGAAACAGTCATGGTGGAAGGTTTTTGGTCGTTTTTGGCCTCCCTGGGCACTCGCTGGGCCTCGGGGCCGTCACCAAATCTACATGGAATGAAAATTCGTTTCCCGGGAGAAGGGGTCCAGACCTCTTGGCAGCCGCGTTGCCCCACATTTCACGACGTCGGATCACGACGTCGGATGTCTGGGGAGGAGGCGGGGGCAGCAGGAGGAGGAGGAGGAGGAGGAGGAGGGCGGGGGGCAAGGACGACGACGAGGGGAGGTCAAGGAATATGACAAGGGGAGCGGCATCCGCGCGTCACCGAGGGAGGGTAAATCTGGCGTCTGGCATGGGGCCTGCCTGTGGGTATGAAGCTCCCCATGCTGCTTGAAAGAAACGGGGCGGCACCAGAAGAGAAGGGGAACGGGAGGATGAGGAGAAGGCAGAAGAGGGCGACGACGTCGACGAGGGGAGGAGATGAGGGGAGAAGGAGGAGGAGGCGGAGGAGGAGGAGGAGGACGAGGAGGACACGAGGACGAGGACGGAGATGAAGGGATAGGTCGGGAACGTTTGCTTAGCGTGCCGCGGCGCGGGTTCCAGCCAACAACCATGCCTCGGCGCGACACGCTACCCGTTCCCTGTCCCCAGGCAACAACGTCCAGAGTCTTTCCTTGCCTCTCGCCGCTTGGAACAACGGAGCGACGCGCTATCCGCTTGCAGGGCATGGCGTGTCGCTGGAGCCGCGGCCGCGACATGCGAATCACAAGTTTCTCACTGTGTTGGGGAGGGGAAGGCGATGGGAAGGGGGATCGGCGGGAGGCGAGGAGGCAGGGAGGGAGGGAAGGAGGGAGAAAGGGAGAAGAGAGAGGGAGAGTGGGAGGGATGATGATGAGGATGAGGACGAGGATGCTGCTGATGAGATGGTGATGATGGTGATGAAGATGATGATGAGGATGGTGATGCTGCTGATGCTGCTGATGATGGTGGTGATGCTAATGCCCATGCTGATTATGATGATGATGGTGGTGACGAAGGTGGTGGTGGGTGGTGGTGATGGTGATGATGATGATGATGATGATGGTGATGATGATGCTGCTGATGATGATGATGATGATAAGGTTGATGATGATGGTGATGCTGATGATAATGATGCTGATGCTCATGATGTTGCTGATGATGCCGATGATGACGATGATGTTGATGAGGGTGATGACGTTTGTGATGCTGCTGATGATGAGGGTGATAGTGATTGCGATGCTGCTGATGTTGATGATCTGAGAGTGAGGATGAAGACGAGGATGCTGATGATGATGTTGATGCTGATGCTAATGATGAGGATGAGGATGACGATGCGGCTGAGTATGCTGATGATGATGAGGATGAGGATGATGAGGATGAGGGTGAGGATGAGGGTGAGGATTGTGATGATGATGAAGATGAGGATGCAGATGCGGATGGATATCCTGAGGCTGCTGCTGCTGATGATGATGATACATATGATGATGCTGATGCTGTTGGTGATGATGATACTGCTGAGGATGGTGATGCTGATGCTCATGATGCTGCTGATGATGCCGATGATGACGATGATGATGATGTTGATGAGGGTGATGACGTTTGTGATGCTGCTGAGGATGAGGTTGATAGTGATTGCGATGGTGCTGATGTTGATGATATGAGAGTGATGATGAAGACGAGGCTGCTGCTGATGATGATGATGTTGATGCTAATGATGAGGATGAGGATGACGATGCGGCTGAGTATGCTGATGATAATGAGGATGCGGATGATGAGGATGCGGGTGAGGATGAGGGTGAGGATTGTGATGATGATGATGATGAAGATGAGGATGCAGATGAGGATGGATATCCTGAGGCTGATGCTGCTGCTGATGATGATGATGATGATGATGATGATACATATGATGATGCAGATGATGATGGTGATGATGATACTGCTGAGGATGTTGATGATGATTCTGATGATGCTGGTGATGATGATGACGATGATGATGGTGATGGTGATGCTGATGCTGATGATGATGATGAGGAGGAGGAGAAGGAGGAGGAGGAGGAGGAGGAGGAAGGCGATGGAAGGGGGATCGGGACTGCTGGCCGATCACCAGCAGAGGGCACAATGCTGCAACTGCACGACTGCGGCCAGGTGAGAGGTGGGGCCTTCCCAAGGAGGCGTATGGTGCTCCCTGGCAGGGTTCGGAGCCTTCCGGGAAGGCTTCTTAGATCGTTCGTCAGAATGCAAACCCTTCGCCTGAATAGCACTGTGAACTCGTGGCCCAACTTCGGTCATCGCTTTTTTTAGGGTTATCCCCAGAAGCCTGTAACAAGCGGCCCTCCAACAAGCGGCTGTAACAGGCGGCCCTCCACAAGGACTCGGGGTTCTTTGATTCCTCTCGCTTCGCGGGGTGCACGTCCAGACCACGTACAGTCCAGTCGTTGTGGGGCCTGTTGGGAGCTTTTTGGGGCCTCTTTGAAGCCTCTTCGGGGCCTCCTGGGGCCTCTCGGGGGCGTTGAGGGCCGTCTGGGGGAATCCTTGCGCCGTCTGGCTCCTTCGCAGGCCGTCTGGCCTCTCCTGGCCGCCTTCACAAGGACTCGGGGTTCTTTGATTCAAGTGGCTTACGCCACTCCGCCGACCCCCCAGAAGGAGCGAGTGCTTGCGACCATCTTGGAACTTATCTAATGGGTCAGGAGCTCATTGCTTGCGTTTGAGGAGCTCGTGGGATGCCTCTCAGGGGCCTCTTGGAGGGCTCTTGGGGGCATATGGGGGCCTTTTGGGCACTTCGATGTTTTCTTCTTGGATGCATTTGAGGAGCTCGTGGGATGCCTCTCTGGGGCCTCTTGGAGGGCTCTTGGGGGCATGTTTGGGGGGTCCATTTGGTGACCTTGATTTTCAATGCTCTTCACTAGAAGGCTTGACGCCCTCCTAGACGAGCTCCCCCGCCTTCCAAAAGGGCCGCCGACCCTCCCGCCCCCTCTCCTTGGTGCGCGCCGTCAGGATAATTATTACCAGAAGCCGGACGCACCTCGAGGATGTGATCGTTAAGCATCTCAGCATCTTATGGTCTCTAGCTCTGATAACACAATGAGTTCGTGGCCCAGCTTAGGTCATCGTTTTTTCCCCCCAATTTGGCGTGCCTACGGGGTTCTTTCTTGGTTGAAGGTTGGTGCCTCGTATTCTTACGTTGCCCGTTGCCTGGAGGTTCCTTGGGCTCCTCGGGTTCCCCGCCCCCGGTGCCTCCTATTGTTTCTTTGCCCGTTTCCCCCAGGTTTCGGGCGATCCCGACTGCCAAAACAAGTCTTGTCCCTAACGTTCTTGGTCCCGTCCCACAGGATTAGGAGTACTGTTATTGCTGATCGAAAACTACAGTTTTTTCCCCCAAGCGATGCTCGCACTTCTGGTCTCGGATTGGGCTGTCATGCGATTGGGCGGTCCCCCCAGTTTGCGCCGGATGGACGCCCGTGGGCGCCTTAAGTGCCAGCGTGTGTTGGCTGGACTCCCTGGGTGCTCGCCCCGTGGCCGCCCTTGGGCGCCTCGTGGGCGCCCCGTGCGTTGGCTGCGTGTTGTTCGGTTTTCGTCCGGTGGGCGTCCGCGTGCGTCTCGTGTGCCCCCCTCTGCGCTGAAGCCGGCTGGCGGTTCGACTTCACCACGCAGACTCGCCTTGAAGAATAGACCCTACCACCCTCTCCCCCGAGGCTTATCCCCCACCCCACCCCTGGACACTGCAGGTTGCTTCTGATTCTGGCTCGTCATTTTTTCTGTGTGAGTCCACACCATCCCAGCCAGGCCGGGCATCGCCCCCCCCTCCCCCCTCATCCCTGTCAAATGATGTTGCGCGCGCGGTCGCAAGAGTCCCCCGCAAAAGTTGCACAAAGTCCACACGCGCGCGCGCACATGATGAATTCAGAGAAAACGCGCTAGTTTTGCAACCCTTTGTAGATAACAACATTAGAGCCATTAGATTTAGCATTGCAGATTTTCGAGTTTTTTTGCCCGCGCGCACTTGCTGAAAAATTGGGAGGACATTTGATTTTAGCCATCTCGTCCAGAACCCGCACTCTCATTTCACCACGCGGTGCGTCCGTGCTGATCCAGCATGCGCCCAGTGCACGAATCCGTATCAAATAATACGATGCGGGGCACACGCGCGCGCCGCCACGCGCGCGTGGCGAAATTCTGCGAATCATATGTCTTCGAAGGTTTTCAAGTCAGAGCTCTTCAAACACATGTGAAGCAACGCGTGTGTCTCAACAAAAAGCTTGCCCGGTGGTTTGCATTTTTGTTGCGCGCGCGCACTTCTTCGCCATCACTTTCATCAGCGCCGCCGCACCACGTCATCGCCATCGACAATCGCCGCCATTGCCGCCAAGATAAAACAAGCACCTTCATCATCGTCATCATCATCATCATCATCATCATCATCATCATCATCATCGTCGACGTCACCAGCATCGGTGTCGTCATTGGCCTCGCCGTCGTCGTCGCCGTCGTCGCCGTCGTCGCCGTCGTTGTCGTCATCGCCACCACCATCGCTACAGTGGAGACTCATGCCAAGAAACACCCTGCTTGCATCCAGGGTGCCTTGGGTTTCATGGGTTTTGGTGGTTTTGTGATGGAAAGCGTGACGTTCCCGCGCCAAAAGTCAAAGGACGTCCTGAGGTCTCAGGGTTGGGCTTCTTGTGGAAGGTTTCTTGTGGACTGGCCTCCGCAGTACTATCAGAATCGTTATCGGCGTTGTCGATGTCACCATGATACCGCACCCGCCCGAGTCACCGACCCGCAGCAAAGTATCTGCGCGCCAGCGCAGCCGTTGAGACGGGCTGGGGAACTGCCGTAGGTAAGCGCCATCGTGGCCGCACTGGTCGTGCCAAACGAGCTGCCGCTCTGTTCGCGAGCTGGCGCGCGCTCGCGCGGCAGCAGAAATACGCCAGCCAGGGCCAAGCAGTCACCGCTATCGCGGCCGCCTTGGTTTTTTCAAAACACGTTGCGGGTGGGAGGGTGGAATAATTGCGCGAGCAGTGGAGTTGGCAACTCATGGGTTGGCAGACATTTGCGCCATGTAGATTTCACCCCGTAGATTACATCACATAGCGTGCGCCACGTTCAGCTGTACCCAACCGACTGCGCCACACATGTTGAGTCGTATAGATTGTGCTTTACATGTGCACCACATGCACTTCTGTTTTCTCAAACGTAGTAGAACCCACCCCATATGCCGAGTCTGGACTCAACAGTTCGCCTTCTCCGCGTATGTATTCTCTGCAGCCCCTCTGCAAGATCGTTTGCAAGGATATAGTCCCAGCCAGACCCCCGCACTGTCCCCCCAGCAGTCCAGCCAAACAGTACTATTCCGCCGCTACGAGAGCTCGGTCCAAATGTAGCGCCTCCAGTTCGTCGAGTGTGTCTAGGTACAACGTCGTCAGTGGCGTTGCGCCCGCGACAGGGGAGAGGAGACGTCACAGGGGCCCGTTGGGCGGCGGGGTCCCTGTACAATGTTATGTCCAAGCGCTGTTTTGCTCAAGTCTCGGGCGGAACTGTCCTTTCGAATTAGAACCCGATGGTTTCGAAATCCCGTCGAAATCGTCTTTTGGGAGGCAGTCTCAAGCGAACACAACAAGTTCGAAAGCTGTGATCAGACATTTTAAATTCTGAATGCCAAAGGGCGTGGCCGTTTCGAAACGACGGTTTCGCCTGAGACTTCCTCAAACATAACTTCGAACAGTTTCGAAACTTCCGGGTTCGATTTCGAAAGTGCGCTCCCGCCCAATACTTTCTCCAACCTAGATTTCGATTCCCTTCTGGTTCGATTTCGCAATGGCGCTCCCGCCAAGGATTTCCTGGAAAATAGAGGTCGGCATTTCTTTAGCTCGCTTTCGCAATGGCGCCCTCGCCTAAGACTTGTTTTGGTGGAAGCACGAAGCTGGTCAACACTTTCGTAGCGCCGGTGTATGCGGAGCGCTCGCTTTGATCTGGCCCGTACATCTTCAATGGACCCGTATGAGATAGTACCGTGCAGGCCACACGCCCGCACATGTCAAAGTCACGTCCAAACCTTTGCTTTCAATTAGTCGCTGAACAACAGCGTCAGGTAATGTTTGCTGCAATGGGACATGTCAGATTTCAGTGTGCGCGCACTCGCCGGCATCGTACCAGCAGCGTTTTTTCTTTCGGGTCTGTCAACTAGTGTAGTAACATGCCAGCCTCGCGCGCGCATATGCTTAGCACCCTACACGAAGCTTTCATGGCTGAGTGCGCCGCCGCCTTTCTTTCCCCTTCGCGGCTGCCCAATGCTGTCCCCTGGTGGCTTGCACGCGCAGTTCGCCCAGCAGTGCCCGGCGGCACCCAGAGGGGTAGTGGCAGGGGGGAAGGCCTCTTAGAGGCACCCCTGCTTCTTGGAAGGCGCGGGCCTTACCAGACAGGGCCCGCGCCTTCTGAGAAGCTGCCTTCTAAGAAGCTTTTCCCCTTCCCCCCACCCCCCTCTGCGCATGGCTGAAGTGGCCCCGTTCAGGCTGCAGACGCGGTTGATGCGCGATCGCCATCGCTGCGACGAGCGCACGGTTGCAGCCCTGGCCGGTTCCGCTGTCGTCTTGGAACTTTCGCCGATGTCCGTGGCACGTGCCGTTTCTTCGTTGCCCGCGCCCAGGGATGCTGTTCAGCCACGCGCAGGGGGGGGGGAGGGGGAAGGGGGGAAGGCTTCTTGGAAGCAGCCTCCTTCCAAGAAGCCTCCCCCCCTCCCACTTGTGGAGTGCAAAACATGTGGTTTGCTGCTTCCCAACAACATTAGCAAAAACAGAATTTTCTCGAGTCACCATTCACTCTCGTCTGCCGCATTCAGACTAATTTCTCCAGCTCCTGCCCCATCACCATGATTCTTACTGCCTGGTGCGCGCTGCCAGAGATTGGTGCGGCGGGCCCAGCAGGCTGTGGGCGGCGTGCTGTGGCTGGCGAGTTCCCTGTCTTTGCCCATTCCCCCCTCCCAACAAGAGCTTCCGGCGCCGAGCTTCCAGATTCCGCTTTGCTTGGTTGTTGCCACGCTCGGGAGTGATCCCCCCCCGCCCACTTCTCTCTCTTGACTCGACCAGCACGTGTTCAGAACGGCACCACCAGGAAGGGGGCGTCAGGCAGGTGGCTCCGATATCCGAGAGCGCATTCAAATTATAACGCAGTGAGGACGGACAGAAAACGGGCAGACTAGCCACGGGCCGATCCTGGACCTGAACACGCAACAGCAGCGTCGCCCCCAACGGATAAAGCAACGTCGATCTTCAACGTGGTTTAACGCGCCCTCAGCGTTTCCAATAACGTCTAAGTGGAGGACCACATGAGCGACGCGGGCTTCCCCGCCAGCTGCAAGGAGGAGGTGTACGAGGATCTGCTCGCGAGCAACCACGACTGGCGCCTGAAGTACGGTATTTCGCACATGTGCAAGGAGGACGCTTCTCCTCCTTTTCCTCCTCAGGGTAGTCGTGCTTTCAAGCCTCGTAAACGCTGGGCAGGCTGGAGGTCTGAACAGCGCCGTAGAGGGCGTTGATCTGTGTTCGAAGCGGGTATTGGCCCCGATCTGATCTCCCCGTCCCTCCCTGTTCCCCCCCCCACGCTCCCTCCTCCCCACGCGTCCGACGCCGTGTTTTTTCACAGCGTGCCTCCCCACCCGTCCAGACTCCAGACAATTTCCCTGGGACTGGATTTTCATACGGGGTAGTTGTTCGACGGTCCCGGGGCCTGGCAAGGGCCCCCGAGGGCAGAAAACCAAGAAAACGTTCCGCCGTGATTTTGCTTACGGCGCGAGTCTGTCAGAGTCCCTCATCCTTCGCTCCCCCGTTCCCTCCTCCCCTGAGATCCGACGGCGCGAAAAGGGGCCCCGGGGCCCGAGCCTGGGCGAAACCGCCCGGCTCGGAACAACCAAGATGCCAGGATCTCAGGGCCAGGATCTCAGGGTTCCTCGCTGCCTCGCTCCCTCCCAGAAAGATAGTTATCAGGTCGGGAGGATGGTATCGGGAGGACTGACCAGATCATCCGCAGGATCGCGTATGTTGAACGGGCTTCTTACGCAGTCGTCCCCTGTATCTTCCCAGCCCCTTCCTCCCAACACGACAACTGTCTCTCTCTCCCTCGCTCCCTCCCCTCTTCGCACACGAGTGCGCGAGAAGGACGCCGCCACCCTGTGCCAAGACGTGCTCGAGGACGGCGCCGGCCAGGTCCTGGCGTGCCTGAAGGATCGGGGGTTCGTGAAAGTGCCCCTGGCCCGAGGTGCCCTCAGGTTTTCCAAGGAGGCCCCCACGGCCTCCAGAGCACCCCTCACGGGACCCAGAGGGACCCAGGGGCTTCAAATTGGAGCGAAAAGCTAGGGGCACCTTTTGCGATCCCTGAAGAACGCCTACGCGGAGGAAAACATCGAGGACAAGGGCTGCAAGGACCGTCGGCGAGCACATCGGGGCACAGCACTGGTCCTGGCGAGCAGAGAGAGGCGCGAGGTTCGAGGTTATGGGTTCGAGAAGGTTCCTTCTGCCCCTTTCGGTCTCCAGGGGCCGTTTTCTGGCCCTGGGACCGTCAAAAACGGATCCATGGTTGCACACTGCACCAGATGGACCCCAGGAGCCCATCCAGTTCAGACCCCTGGCCTTCTCGAAGGGGCTCATGCTAACGAGGGGCAGCAACGTTCGGGGCGATAGGCTCAGGGGGGATGCATCGACCTTCAACCGCCCATTGGTCGCCGATAGGGGCCTGATGACCCACCCCGCCCGGGAACGTGCGGTTTCGCTATCGGGGGGCTCATCGCCCATCCATGGGCGATGTATCGTCGGTTCCAGCTCGATGTTTCCCCCCCCCCTGAGCAGGTCCCACCCTGACGCTTCCCCCTCAGCTACAGGGTAGTTGCTTGCATGTGCAAAGGCGTTGGAGCAGGGCGTCCGTATTCAGTGTCATGCACTTCATCAGTGGGTGGCCAAATAGGCTCGGTGGAGTCCTGGCAGGCAAGCGTTGGCCTGATGCAGTGTAAGTTGCATGATCGTGCTGCGTTGCGCAACGCCGACCTCTCGTGGCCTTGGCGGAGGCAACGCGGGCACGTGGAAGCCAGGCGCGCCTAAAAGACGAGGGCCGATTCCTCCCTCCTCCCTCCTGTGCCCCTCCAGCTCCTCCTCCTCCTCCTCCTCCTCTTCCTCCTCCCCCGTAGCCATTTTGGCTCAAGGTTGAAACCTGCCCTGGGGCTTCAGCCTTGTCGCAGGCGACAGGGAGGCCCGAACCTTCCGAGGCCAGGACGCCTCTCTCCTTCCTGCCGTGCGCCACAGCACGCTCCCAAATTTTGGCTACAACGACGCGAGCTGAGCCGCCATGGGCCCTGCCGCCTGCGACCGCCCACACCATGTCGTGCATCGTCTCGATGGGGGTGAAGATATTGATACGGAGATTGCTTCCTCTGGTGGCCGTGATTCCTCTGAGGAACCCCGCCGCTCTGCCTCTCGGAGCGGTGGCAGCCGCGGTGCTCGTCGTGCAGCTCGCGCTCGGCCTTCCTCCCACGGCAATGCTGGCCCTGTTCCTGAGCCCTCTCGCCGTGCTCGCCGTGCTGGCCGCGCTCGTGGCGCTGGCGGGGACGTCCCTATGTCTCCTGGTGTTGCAGCCTCGCATCGGGGCCCCGACCCTGCGGCTCTGGGAGCATCTCGCGGTGCTCAAGCTATTCCCTTGGACGAATGGGACGATTCCAAGCGTGCACAGGTGGCTGCAGAGCTCGAGATGGCCGCTACCTTCCCGTCGCAGGAGGCGCGACCCGACCCGAACGCCACCCCGCAGGGCCCTGCTGCTAGGCTTTTCGACCCCTGGGCCGCGGCGGCGGGTGCGGGCGCCACCCCGCGGGCTCAGGCTGCTGCTGGTGGTGCTGCTGATTGTGGCGAAGAGGAGGAGCATGCTGCCTTCACTCGGGCCTTCTACCATGCCGACATCTCCGCGAGGTTCAGTCAGCTGCGCAATGAGTTCGACAATATCGTTACTACGGCCATCACCAATTCTGTACAGCAGTCAAACGCTCCCATCGTTGCCACGCTCGCCACTCTTCAGAAGCAGCTTTCCTCGCAGCACACCTCCATTGATCAGCAGGTCATGGCATCGGTGCGTCCGCAGTTTGATACCATGCAGCGCCAGTTTCAGGAGCAGCATGACGCCCTATCCCGTCGTGTCGACTACACTGAGCGGGACATCGAGGCCCAGGCTGCCAAGCTGGCTGAGCTGCAGAAGCAGGTCGAGGAGCTACGCCGCCAGAGTGAGCTGGACCGACAACTTCCGTCGCGTCCCCCTGCCCCACCTGGTTTCGACCGCGAGATCGACCCGACGCAGGTCATTGTGGTCTCGTCCAAGCTCGTCGGTCTGGCTGGCGTCCGTGAGGTGGTCAACTCCTTCATGGGCGAGCTCAACTTCTCTGAGGACGACACGTACTCGATCAAAGCCCTCACGCCGCTCCCCGCCAAAAAGTTTGCCGTGTGCTTCTCTGGGCCGATCGGCCTGGCCTCCCGACGTGTGCAAAAGGCCCTCGCTAACCTCAAGTCGGACGGAGCATGGCGGGTCTTCCAGTGCCCAGCTCAAGGTGCGGACCCAGCCCGTCTTCACTTTGGTCCTGACAAGTCGCCGAAACAGGTTCGTGGTGAGATGCTCCTTCGTAAGGTCCGTTCTTCCCTCATGGAGCTCGACAGTCAGAGAAAGTGGTTTGTTGATCGGGAGCGGAGTGTTCTCAAGTCTGACTACACCGACATCCTGCGGCTTGTCCCCCGGCCAGGAGATGAACCCCCTGAGCTCTCTTGGAACGACGTGGGGATCCGCGCCCTCGGCCTGGACCGTCGTGACCTCCAGGAGGCCATTCGGAACATCACCGCCGCGCCGTCGGCCACCCAGTGGTGTCTTTGACGCCATCACTGATATGTTTGTGCTTCCAGTGGGGCAGGTCGGCGGAGAGATCACAGCCAGCCTCACATTCATGACTTGGAATGCACGCGCTCTTCTCCAATTTGGTGGGGCGAAAGCCTCGCCTAAACTATCTTACCTAAGCAAACTTCAACCTGGGCGATCCATCTTGGCTCTCCAAGAAGTGCATGCAGATCGATTTGAGCTGAACGACTTTGTGGCCAGGCTTTCCTCCACGGCCATTGTCCACAGTAGCTTTTGTGAAGATGACGACGGCGAGGTTGTCCGCGGCTCTGGGGGAGCTGCAGTCATTCTTCCTCCTTTCTCATCCACTTCGGTCAGTAGCTGTGCGGTGCCTCTGATCAGAGGCAGGGTGCTTCGTGTTGATGTAGCACTTGGGCAGACACAGCTGGTGATCTTCAACGTTCACAATCACGGCTTGACCAAGGGGGAGGTACAATCTGTCTGTGAGCAGATCGATTGTGCTCTGCGTCGCGCTGCTGATGACCCACTCTCGTACTTTGTGGTTGTCTTGGGGGATCTCAACTACAGTTACGATTCTTCTCTCATCTTTCACCGACCTACTGGAGTACAGCGCCAGTTGACTCATGATCATAAAGTACATGCTCCAATCTGGGCGGCTACACTTGGCAAGATGATGGAGATTAACTCTGAAGCGGCGACCCATTTCTGCAAGTTCACCAATTCCATCAACATCATCGACCGCTTCTTCTGTTCTGCCACAGGCTGGATGATGTGTCAGCTCATGACTGAGGTTAACACCGTGGACACGCCTGAGCACCTGTGCTCCATGGGCATCTCGGATCATGCTGCTCTCTCGATTCGGCTGCGTCTTCGGGGTGTGCGTCCCGCTGCTGAGCGACCCATCCCCAAGCACATCTTCACCTCTGTTGCTTTCCAGCGCCGACTCCGAGGAATGGTTGCTGATGGTGATGAGGATCTGCTCCGATGGAGCCCACCGGTGGCTACAGAGCACTACAAGTACATGATGAAGGAGGCCGCCAGGGAGGCCCGCGACATCCTCTTCTTCTCGGCCCCTGACCTGCCTGGGACGCTTCAGCTGGTTGCTCGTGGGATAGCACGAGCGGTATGGCGTCAAGACGCTGCCCTTGCCCTCAAGCTCATCGAGACCTCCCAGCACGCCGCCGACGCCCTGACGGTCGACGGCCAGGTCGTCTCGCTGCGCCACGCCCCGTCCTTCGAGCAGTGGGCCGCTGGAGTACATCGGCTGGTCTTCGAAAAAGAGCTTGCTGCTGCTGCTGCTGATCGTGCTCCTTCAGGCTCCTCATCTGCCTGGCGGCCTCATTCGGCCACGCTCTTGCGAGCTATGGAAAGGAAGGCCTCCATATGGGCCCCGTTTTCGAAGCGCCTGATACTGTCCGCGGTCAATACTCCTGAGGGCCCCATCTCAGAGGTTCGGGAACGCACTGCGGCCCTGGCGGCCTACTGGACCCCTGTCTTCTCCAAGAAAGAGCCCCACCCTGTCATGACCCAGATGTACCTCGATAGGTTCCTCACCAAGGCCTCTGACATCGACCTGCACTGTCCTCTGACCCCAATGTTTCGTAAGGTTCTCAGGCGTGCTCGTCACTCTGCTCCTGGTGTCGACGGGCTGCCTTATGCGGCCTGGTCGGCGTGCGACTACGGCGCCCAGCACCTGGCCAGAATGTTCGGATGGCTATGCCAAGGTCAGTCGTTGTTTGCCTCTGCCAGCGTCACCCTCCAGGCGTTCCTCCCCAAAGGTGTTGATGACTCAGATCTGCCGTCTGGGGTTTGTTCTCGGTCTCCCGATAAGATACGGGTCCTGGGGCTGCGTAACACCGACGTTAAGATCCTGAGCTCGGTCATGAACAGGGTCCTCGAGCCTGTCGTCCAAGCCGTTGCACCTGCTTCCCAGAGAGGCTTCATTAGAGGACGAATTTTTTGCTACGACGTGCTTGAGCTGGATGTCCATGCACGGCTTGCATCGCAACATCCCCTAGCTGTGCGTCGTTACCCTGTCCTCGTCGGGTTCGACTACGGGCAGGCCTTCCCGAGCTTGTCGCAGTCCTTCCTGCTACAGCTATTGGGCTCTCTTGGGCTCCCCGCCGAGATTCTCGCTTTTGTGAGCTGGATGTATTTGGCTGTTGAAGGTGTGGTCCTGGATGGGGGATGCTACTCGACCATCTTCTGGATCCGCTCGGGCATCATCCAAGGCTGTGGTCTCTCGGGGTCTTTGTACGCTCTCGCCTCCTCCCCCATGTTGGCCGACCTCGAGCGGAGTATTGAGCAACGTCAGTTGGGGATATGCCGTGCCTGTGCCGATGATCTAGGCGCTGTCCTGTATGAGCTAGCCTCTCTGCGCATCCTGGTGCGGGTCCTCGGTGTCATGGAAAAGATTGCGGGCCTCAAGATTAAGATCAGCAAGTGCACCCTGGTCCCTCTCGTCGGCCGCGTGACAGAAACCCTGAAAACCATGACCCAGACCCAGCTGGCTTCTATCGCGAGTGACTGGTCAGGCTTTGCC